TGATTGGCTCAGAGGGCTGTTCAGCTACATGTTAGTTCACGGCTCCCATCAGGCTGGTTTTTTATATAGTTCTGTTGAAGCACAATTCAAAAGCAACGTCATGATGTTCATTAAATGTTTATTTTTTACTACTTTTGTCAGTTTCCCTGTATTTCAGTGCAGCTGTTTGTTTCCTTCTTTCATGGGCGGCTATGAACACAGTTGAGGACGGCTGTAGTTCCAAGGGCAGGAGTGCACCTTATTTAGCGTGAGTCGGCTGTGCAGTGTGTAATACCCCGGTGCACAGTCTCTGGTGCCTTCCTACCTGCCTGCTGTGCCACTGACTCAGCTCAAAGCGTTTCATATCAAACCAAATGTCCTGCAGTGCCCTTGTTTTTGTCAGCACGCTCTGGCTTTTGGATGCTTTGCACTTTGCATTCGCATTGTTTAGGGAAACGGGATTCACTGCTTCAGAACAATGTGATAAGCCTGGATAAATATTTGAATCGCTGATTGAATAATCCAGTTCACACAAAGCAAACCATGTGCTTAGTTTTATTGTTCTTGTTCTGTATAAAGAGAATATTGGAGGTGGCTGCCTTAATGTTTTATATAACGCCCCAAAGCATTTGATATCAACTATGGAGAAGGTCCTGTTCCCTCCTCACACTCTCACATCCAGCGTCATGTATTCCATGTGTTCATGGCACTTTTGAAGATAAACTTAACACCGGTTTGAATTTTCTCTTCTCCAGATCATCTTCTACGAGGACAGAAACTTCCAGGGTCGATTCTACGAGTGTGAAAATGACTCCAGCGACCTGCACACGTACTTCAGCCGCTGCAACTCCATCAGAGTGGAGGGAGGATTCTGGGTGGTCTACGAGCGACCCAACTACATGGGCTACCAGTACGTGCTGAGCCGAGGGGAGTACCCCGACTACCAGTACTGGCTGGGCATCAACGACGCCGTCAGGTCCTGTCGCATTATTAGGAATGTAAGGACCGGTGTTTTGCATCACTCTCATTTCTTTCTCTCTGAGTGTTTATGTCGGCTGACCAGACCCTTCAATTTACTCACTAATTATATGGCTCTGCTCAAAATAAAAATCTTTCAGTGTGCTTCCTTTCTCTCCTCCAGGTGGGGAATTCGTGGAGGATGAAGGTTTGGGAGCGGCCCAACTTCGAGGGCCAGTCGATGGAGCTGGCCGACAACATGCCGGCCTTCCAGGAGCGCTGGCACAGCCGCGACGTCCACTCCTGCAAGGTGTTCGAAGGCGCCTGGGTCTTCTACGAGCACCCCAACTACAGGGGGCGCCAGTACCTGCTGGAGCGGGGCGAGTACCGGCGCTACTCCGAGTGGGGCGGCATGCAGCCCGGCGTCGGATCCATCCGCCGGGTCAAGGACCACTAGCCATGTGGCGCTGGAATAGCGTAAACTGGATGAACGTACATCCTGACAAATAAAATCATGACACAAAATGATGCACTTGCTTTTTGTCTAATTCTCTTGACTCAGTATTTCCATCTGTATCAACTCTCTGAACTCCAACTGTTTCTGGGCCGTTTTTTTTATTTTTTCTCTACAACATAAAGTCCTGCAGAAGAAGACAGAATTCAGAAACGTCTTCTGTGCAGGATTACAGGTGTGAAGCCATGCGTCATAAAAAATACCTGAAGTCTAAACGGGAAAAACATGCACAACGCTTCCCAAGTGTCCCCACATGCTGCCGGCACTGGGGCGTCCTCCTGCTGGACATGTTTTACTGCCTACGCTGCCTGCAGTTCAACCGAAAGTGAGCTTTGAATCACTAATGTGTCGGAGCATCTTTTGTGTTTTTGATCGTACAGACGTTTTGTTTTGCCAACGTCTGAAGTGAGACACGTAGAATAAAGTGGTTTCGGTGAAATGTGACGACATTCGAGCTTTTCTTGACGGAACCGCACAATGATTAGTTCAAGGAATTGGTTGGAAATCTGACGTTTCTTTGTGTTTTTACGCTCCGTGCTTCTGATAAATGGTCTCGTGGTTCAGAGGGTTTGAGCAGAACATATGTGGTGCAGCATCACTTTAGTTTGATGAAGATTGCAGATTTAAAAATTAAAAAAAAAACTTTAAATGTGGTTTTAAATATGTTGTAATGATTGAAAAAGGGAATTAAGTTGTACAGGAAATGAGCAGACGTGCTTTCATGATTCATTGATCTAACATGATCAACAAAAACAGAACTCTTTGTGTCGGCGTGTAGTTTCTGTGCTCGAGTTTTCTGGTCGTGTTCTTTAAAAGATGTAAAGACCGAAATGATCTAAACAGATGGACAGAGACATAATGTTCGTGATGGGCAGCTTTAAAACAGAAGAGTTTCATTAAACACAGAAGCGTGATTTTAACTGTGCATACGACAATAAACGCACGATGAAGTAATAATAACTTTATTTATCCTGCAAAGTTTCAAGGTGCAGCACAGTTAGAGCACGACAACAAAAGAAAGCAGAGGAAACACTGAATATGTCAAAGATCTGCATGAAAATAACTACAACAAAAACAACAACAAGTGGACCAACGTCTACGATAAAAAGGCTTTCAGGAATGTTTTACATCTTCTGGGACGACTTTCTACAGTTTGGGGGAAAGAACAGCAAAAATCCGTCAAATCAAAAGTTCATTGTAGGAGATCAAGTAACAAAAAGCTTCACATCCACATAAATATGAAGAAAACCAAACAGAAGCATGAACAGAGAACAGCAGCACAAGACCAGAGAGTCATTCCTTAAACATCTAAGATAACGGGAGTGATGAGGAGAGAGACGTGGATTAAGAACATAAAAACTGACACGACTCGATGCATCTTAAACGGATCGTTTTCTAGAGGCGTTCAGTCAAAATTTCTGCATCGACACATACGAAGGCCGTGCGCTAAAACAATTGCAGAATCAGCTAATGGAGAGCTCATTTGAATGACAATAATTCTCCTGGCGATGCATTTCATCGGCCTTCGTATAAAAGTGGAGCATCAGGGACGCAGAGCAAATGAGGGGCTTTTTTTCATAGAGCGAGGAGGAACACGAGGTGATTATGGAGCACACATGGAGGGTAAGAACTGCAGCATGTGAGGGCTGGACTGTTTCCTAATGTTGTTCTGCTGCATTCACCGTCAGTCAGGAAGCAGGTGTGGAAACGGCCGACTTTTCATACGTACCTTAAAATGTTGTCATGCTTCTGCACCAAACTCTTGCTCTGCTCGGTTTGTTCAGTATTTAAAAATGTTGTTTTATAATTACACACTTTAAAATAGAAATCTATAATTTTATGGGTTTTATTTACCATTTTTTCGTCTTACTTCTCACACGGAGAATGAACCGTGAATTTGCAAAACAACATTAAAAACCCGTAACTTGGAATAACCACAAAATTGGAAACTGTAAGATTTATTGTAGTTTCACAAACGTTTTCTTTTATCCAATAGATCAAACTGTTGAATTCAAGTTTAACTGTGTAAATGTGATTTCAAACTTGGATAAAAATGAGTGTCGATTAGCAGAAAACAGGTTCTGCTGTTTGCATCAATATTTTTGTAAATGAAGACATGTTTAATGAATGTGCTTTCATCCGTATATAACATCTATTATCTGTTATTGTAAATGTAAATACCTCTCTGAGATTTAAGATGTTGTGTTGCCCCCTAGTGGATGAAGATTTTTGTTCATCACTATACTTGAAAATAGTTAAATACTTAAACTGAGGGCCAAAACAAACAAACTGTAAATCAGATTAGAATACAACCACTGAATAAACTTTTTTAAACTACAAAATATATTCCGTTACACATGTAGTTATCTTTTGTTAAATATTAAAAGCATGATTTGAAATGTATTTTCATTATGTAATGTACTGTGTTATTATTAGTGACACTGTTTTTTTGTGCCAAAATATTTCCATTTTTTACATTTCCAGCACCGTGATGCCAGTGAAACCCTGACTTTTAGCCACTAGGGGGCAACAAAACCTTCAAAATGCTACGACGTTGCTACGGCGCTACGTTCAATACGAGTTGTGTCTCGGTGACCAATGTTATTTTTCACAAGTTAACATTTAGTCTTGATAAGATCGTTTCCGCCAAATAAACTGCGTCCGTCTGCGAGTCTGTAGTTGTGTGACGGGAGAATTACCAACCAAACTGTAATAGTCCTTTAATGTAAATGCAGTGATGTCATTCGTAGTTGTTGTGGTGATAGTAAGAGCCAGAAGAAACAGCAATATTTGTTAACTGTCCTGCCTGTTTGTGCTGCAGATCTTCTTTTATGAAGACAAGAACTTCCAGGGCCGGTACTATGAATGCAACAGCGACTGTCCTGAGCTCAGCTCCCACTTCAGCCGCTGCAACTCCATCCGGGTGGAGGGCGGCGCCTGGGTCATCTACGAGAGACCCCAGTACATGGGCTACCAGTACGTCCTGATGAGAGGGGACTACCCCAACTACCAGAGCTGGAACGGCTTCAATGACACCATCCGCTCCTGTCGCCTTATCAGATATGTAAGTCCTTTCAAACAAAACACGCGTCGAAGGCGGACATGAAAGGGAATCTTCCAGCAGAATGTGAACGTTATCAAGCACCAGGCACGAAGACATCAGCTGGTCATCACACCAGCTCAGTCATGCTTTTCTAGTTCAAATTTTATTTTAGTTTCACCCAGTAACAGCAAAGCAGCTGTGATCAATGTCTTCATATCAATGTGCTGTTTAATTACATGTTTAGTCTTCACTGTCCACAGCAACCCTCTGAAGCCTGTCCAGGCATTTCCTTGCTCTTCCTTTTTTCTGTAGTTTGCAATATAAAGTCCTGCACTAGAACTAGAAGTAGAGAGAACTCAGAATGTCTCCTGCTCATTACTGCTTATGTGTCCGACTTGTTCCCGTTCCTGTCTACTATCTACACAGCCTGCAGTTCAGTCTAGTTCACTTTAGAAAGTTTCTGTGATGTGACTGCTGGTCTCTGCTGAGTCACTGTCAGCTTCATGCTTGCTCTGACGATCACAGAATTTTTATTTTCTTACTCGATCTAGATGTTTTCAGCAGTTTATTTTTGGCAAATTTTTGAGTTATTATTGATGAAAAACCACAATTTTAAACCTCCATTTGAATAGTTTTGCCGGCGGAACGACACATCACTGATGAATAGTTTGAGGAAAGTTAAAAATCTGACGAATCGTTCTGTTTTTACAGTTTGTGACTCATATCGATGCTGTCATTTTAAAGACAACATGCCTTCCAAACCTGCCGGTGAGCTTTAGGGGTTCAGAGGATTCATTCTGTCCAGTTTCATCCTCCAGCTGATGATCTGGTGAAAATTCAAAGACGAGTTAACATTTCGATGAGTTGGGTGAGAAACATCCTCGTATTTAGGAGATGTTGTGTTTTGATTAGCATGAACGCTGGAGAAGCAGCTAGCGTAGCTTCGTCTGAAATAACTAAAATGTGCCTGCCAGCACGTCCAAAGCTCACATGTTAACTCATATGTTCATGGTTGGCTGTTGAAGCCATCCAGCAGGCACAGGATCCGCATCTACGAACGTCCAGACTTCAGCGGCCAGATGTTAGAGTTTAGCGAAGATCAGCCCAACCTGCTGGAGCGCTGGCGCTACCGGGACGTCCAGTCGGCTCACGTCCAGGACGGCTTCTGGGTCTTCTACGAGCATCCGAACTACAGGGGGCGCCAGTACCTGCTGGAAAAGGGCGAGTACCGGCGGCACTCGGAGTGGGGCGCTCTTCATCCGTCTGTAGGCTCCATTAGACGTGTCGTGGACTTTTGAACCACACCTTAAACCAGACCTGCTTCCCTCTTGTCCCCTTCCTCTCTCCGACTGACGTGTCCTACAAATAAATCCACACATGCAGACAAACTGCAGCTGAGTGGGTGTGATTTTATTTCCTGTCCTTACAAAACACATGAAAGCGTGGATTTAAAAACAAGACGAGGTCCACGGTGACTTCACAAATGTTACAGACAGACCAAACTGTTTTAAGTTTTCTAAGTTTAGGGAGTTTCTGCTTGATTTCACATTGACAGCTTGCAGCTGAAGCCATTCTACATAGATAATTAATCCTCGTTGTGGTTAGAACCGTGTGATTTCCACCATGTCTGTCTTCTCAAAATGCAAACAACAAGACTTTTAACTGCCCAGCAAAGCATCCTGGGAAGTCTGTTTGTACGCTGGTTTTGGTTCTCGTGAACTTAATTTAATGAGTTGAATGAACTCTCAGCTCAAAAGTCATTTTTGCTCAAAAGTTACAAGAACTCGTGTTTTCAAGTCCTAAAAGTGATGTAAAATTTTAAAAAATGACATTTTGAGTTCACCTATTCAGAAAACTAGAATAGCTTTGTTGATTTTTTAGATTTCCTTTCTTATCTTTTACAGTGTGTATATATTTTATTGTCCTCAGGGGGAAGTTGGGCTCCTCTCCAATCACCGATGGTTGAAGGCCGAGCGCTCGGTACCAACATCTGGTGGCTCGCGGTAAAGCCTCGAAACAAAAAGGCTGAAAAAAAGGATGATTCAGTGGGATGCCAGCAGCTATTGTTGTTGTCAGAGACAGCGGAGCGCGTCGACAATATCCACCGTGCAGCTGGTGCACAACAACAACAACAACAACAACAACAACATCATCACTGTGCTGGACAGCTGTGGTAGTTTGATGATGTTGCACATTTAATCTGGACAGATAAATAGCACAGCGCCACACACACGTTTTTATTATTTGATTTAACTTCAGCAACACCTGACCTGAACGGAAACTGGCCTCACAGATACTGTTTCCTCTTTCTGTCGGCTTCATTGACGGTGATCAAGTATTTACTCATGCTTTCTGGGTTTAACTTTTAATCTCCAGGCGGTTTCTCTTTATTAATTGCTCCCGTCACATCTTTCCTCACTGTGGCTCATTTTTCGTTGCAGTATAAAGTCGTGCACGTCTGTGGAGAACAGTGCAGTACGGCACAGTGGAGAGGTCTGGAATCAGCATGCAAGTGTCGACGTGCTACCAAGAAAGTAGCAGCTCTGTCGACTGGAGTTACTTCACTACGTTTCATTTTGTCCGTTCTCTTTGCTCTGTGTAAACTCTGCCTGCCTGGAAAGTCTCAGCTGAGTCACAGTTGCACAGAAGAGAGCAGAATTTTCTGATTTTTTCAGAATCTGGCGACTGCAAGTGGTTTATTTTTGGCTAATTTTCATCTGGGAGTTTGTCTTCACACAGGAGATGGTGGACAAGTGTGCAATAACCTCAGTGTTCTCATAGGTAATTAAATACATTCAACTTTTTTTTTTATGATTTATGTCAGTACAGCTTTGTAGTTCTGCACAGAAGACAGCTTTAAAGATGTCTCTCCTTGTTCGTGGCTGTTCTGTTTCCATAGAGCTGCAGGACTTCACATCTTAGTAAGACTTGAGCTCACGGTGAGAAAGAATATGACAGGAACCAAAAACAAACAAAAACCAGAAGCTGCTTGGAGTTCAGACGCTCTTTTTTTTCTTTTCTTTTTTTTTTTAAATGAAAATGATGTTTTCCTGAATGCAGCAGTGATTTCACTACGAGGACAGACGGGACCCGGACAGTGGAGCCCCCCGGTGGGGTCACAGTTGCATTACAGGCGACAGCAAAGGAGAGGTTTCATGTTTTAATGGCAGAAAAAAAAAATGGGATGAAGCCACAAACTGAAAAAATTTCCTGATTCAAATAGTCTGGACTCTTGACTTGCAGTTAAATCACGTGTTGATGTCTGTTAGTGACGATATTTGGTCTTGTGGAGCTGCAGTATGATCCAAGTGTTCCTCTGCAGCGTCATCTATCTCATATTTAAGAACGTGTTTGAGCTTTCTTGAGTTATAATTTTGGGTCACCAACTCAATACTGTGAGTCAAAACTAAGAAATCTTCTACCATGCATCAATATTTCTGCCTTGTCTTCTTCTCAGATAAATGCCTGCAGAGGAGGCAGAGCTGCAACAAGCAGCAGAAATAAAATAGAAGCAACACAACCTGCAGGCAGGTTTGATAAGAAGCTGGCGTGTGTAGCTTCCTGCTGCAGGATATGCTAGATTATATCGTGCTTGTTGATCTGCCAGAACGGAAGAATAAAGCCAGTGGTGTGATGTTGCAGGTGGAGGTGTGACGGCCGAGTAAACAGGAGACGCTGCAAATCAGTAACAGAGCTGCTGAGCTCAGCTGATGTTTGAACTGGAACTTTTATCGCACAGCAGATCCGTTCTGGCACCTGCTGACGCTGATCGAGCAGTTTCTAAGTAGAACGCAAACAATCAATGCAAAAGCAAAAGAAAAAATGAAATTCAGAACAACACCCACCGGAGCAGATGTGTCAGCGTGACTCTAAAAGGGAGAATTATCAGCTGGGCTTTCAGAGCTGAGACATCAACTCCGGCTGCACCTTATCAAATACGCTGCAGCTTTTCTGCTCAACTATCCTCCAAAATCTGGATTAGCTTGTTGCAAAATTCCTCTTTGAGGCCTGCAGAGCTTCAGAATATTCTCAGCTTTGACGAGTGCAGTGATTCTCTGTGAGGTTTGTCCTTGAACGGGTCAAAGGTTTTGCAAAAATGTGTGTAAAATGGAACACACAGGAGATGGAAAGGATGACTGAAGCTAAGTTTGGTTGGTTTTTAATCTAAATTAAATCTGCAGAGACTTTGTAAGCCGATACAGAAATACAATATGAGCACGACAGGTCGGGTCACCTCGATTAATAATTAGCAGTTGTGATGCTCTAACTTTTTTATTAGCCAGAGAGAAAGAAACATGGCCGCTGCCTTTTAGCCCTGAGAAGCCCGAAAGCCTCCAACAGGTTTGAATGACATGTTATGTTTTTAAAACCTGCAAAAATTACACACAAGAAACTGTGACGACAGAAAGATTTTCAGCCACATCTGAGCTTAAAATGGTGATATTTGGTCAATGTCGTATTTTGTTTAAAATATATATCCCGATCTCGAACTAGAATCTGTAAAAGCCTAAAAACTCTGTTCTCCTCAGCTCAACTGTGAAGCCATTCGGGACTCAGCTGCAACCAGCAGTCACATGACAACAATTCAGAGACTTTTGGGATGAAGTGCAGACAGTGTTTACACACAGCCAAGTATTCAGACAAATTCATGAAAAATATGATCAGTCAAATATGTGTCCTATGTAGAGTTGCCTCTTTTTCAGTCTTGGAAACATCTGATGGCACTTAAAAAAGGTTGTACATGTGGTTTCCATGGGCTGCAAGGTGTCTCGGTGGTTAGCATCATCGCCTCACAGCTAGAAGGTCTCCGGTTGGCGTCCCGGTGAGGACACCCGGGATCTTCCTGCGTGGAGTCTCCATGTTCTCCCCGTGCAGCGTGGGTTCTCTCCGGGTTCTCCGGCTTCCTCCCACAGTCCAGAAACATGCTGAGGTTAATTGGTGATTGTAAATTGTCCGTAGGTGTGAATGTGAGTGTGCTTGGTTGTCTGTCTCTAAGTGTAGCCCTGTGATAGACTGGTTACCTGTCCAGGTGAACCTGCCTTCACCCTGAGTCAGCTGGGATAGGCTCCGCCCCCCATGACCCTGGTGAGGATTAAGGTGTAGAGATGATGGATGGATGTTGTTTTCAGGTTTTCTTTCCATTTTTGAAAAAACAAATTCTCCTCCATTTTTTAATGGTGTGATTAATTGCTTTGTAGTTCATAGTCAGACTGCACAAAACACATTTTAGACTTCTCTCTCCTTCTAGTCATGGTTGTTCTGGTTCCACAGAGCTGCAGGATTTTATATTGCCGAGAAAAATGAGCCACAGTGAGTAAAATGGTGACCGGAGGGTTAATAACTGCACTGTTTCATGAGACGAGCCATCAGCATCGAGGAAGTGCTGTGTGAGAAGGTTTAACGCAGAGTCACGAGGAACCGTTGGGGATCTCGCTGCAGCTGCTGCTAACGAAGTGGTGAGAGATCAAAGTGGAATTAAAAGTGGAGAAACTGTTCTGCCACCCAGCCAGATGAACAGACTTTAAACAGTCACGTGTGACGCCGGACTAAACCTTTCATACATCTTATAGTTATAAAGATAACTCATTTTAGAGGAAAATCCTGCTGCAGGTCCTCCTGAATATAAACACTTAGAAATACGTTCCAAGTGCAAGAAGTGATTTATATGATGTCTCAGAACTATGCACTCTGAGTAGATGCCACAAATGGATAGACAGGTGAAGTCAGAGGTGTGACAAATGTAAAAGTCTGCACAGTACAACATGATATGAGCGAGAGTAAAGTCTTAAGAAGAAAATATGGTTTAACAGGCTTTAGAGAAGAAGTGTCACTCCACATAGATCTCACAACAGGATTTCTGGCAGCGAAAACATCTTTAACCTTCTGAAGCCCAAAGCGGTGTCTGAGCATTTTAGGCTTCTGTGAACTCATTTCTCACTGCAAACAGAACAACGGTGACGAGGAGGAGAGGGAACTCAGGAGTGTGTTCTGTGCAGGACCACACAGTTAGAATGACACAAGTTCTGAATTTCTTTGAATGTTGATCTTACAAAAATGTGTTTTTTTTCTTTTGTTTTTTTAATAGAAACATCATGTACAGAACAGATGTTACAAATACTGGAGCTAGAAATAAAGAAAAAAATAGTGACTTTAAACACTACATATATATATATTTTTTTTTTAAATTGTATGTTGTTTAATTGTTTCCGGTTCTCTCCACTTTGTGTCCAGACATCCCACGATTCAGACGAGAATCCCAGAATTTTTTTTGTCACATGTGAGTCCATCATGACTCCGAGGCTGTGCCAGGGAGTGCAGAATTTTCTGTTTTTCACAGAATCTGGTTACTATAAATGATTTACATCTAGAAAATATTCATATGAAACATGTAGAATAAAGTGACTTTGATCAAATGTGAAGTTCTGATTTGCTTATTTTCCCCGATGGAACCACACATGGCTCATAATCGGTCTTTGTGTGGTTCAGCGTGTCAATAATCATACTCCATAGATGTAATCTCTACAGGGGGCTGTGGTTGGAGCAGTACTTACTGTTATTATACCACAATGTCATTTTTCATGATACGGATCTCTACACGTAGTTCTAAATTATTATTGCCCTGCAAGTGTTCCTCAACCTGTTAATTATTGATGCCGTGGTGCTCATTACGATGTCCTGCTGACAAATTCTGTTCACGAGATTCACATGATCAGGAAAACGTGTCATCAAACAGTGACTAAACATGTAAAGTTTACTATTGTGATGTGTGTTGAATTGTCAGTTTCTCTGTTCAGCGTTCATTTCAGGTGTGTGTGTGTGTGTGTGTGTGTGTGTGTGATCAGCGAGGTAAAATAAGCCTCATATGTTGGTAGATGTTCACACGTCGACAACATGGAAGCTGCTTGTAACTTTGCACATGACGTGATAATGTTCAGACCCCGATCAACACCACTTTCATGCTCCAATGAATGAGTCCCATTACTATTTTTTTTTGTAAATATCTAAAAACTAGAACCTTGTCTTGTCATTCTTGCCACACATCAAATTCTACTGATGTTAGAGGCCTCAAAAGTTGGTGACATGTCGACCAAAGACTGTATTTTTAGTTGGAAATATGGGGACATCCGTATATATTTACACTTACAGGAACTTTTAGGGGGCACAACACCACCTTTGTTTGAAAATATTGCATTTTTTCCCATTTTCAAAGGACCCATAGTTAGAAATATTGCCTCTGTGGAGCCAGTCGATCATTCAGATCTGCTGGAAACGATTCTGTGTCTTCGACAAATTTCATGGCTGTGGGAGTTTTATGTCTGGAGATATTGAATCTTTCAAAGTGGCTTCTCAGGTGAGATGTTTGTTTGAAGGTGAAAATACAAAAATTGCCTGGTCTGAAAACCTATCGAATTCTGAGAACTACGCCGAGAACATTTTACAGAACTTAGTTTGAAAGTTAAAAATAGACTTTATTGATCCTCAACAGGGAAATTCACACGTTGCAGCAACTCAGAAGACGTAATAAAGATAAAAATAAAAACAATATAGACTCTCCACCTTTCGCATATATAGATATGACATGATGGATAGTAATTGCGTCCGTAGTTGTAGGAGACGTGCAGTCTGCAGAATACAGCAGATAAATATAACTGCACATGGGTTGGATCACACACAGGAGCTGGCATCAGATAGGTGGACATGATGTGAATGTAATCAGTAATGTTGCACAGGATAGTTTCACAGGGTCAGTGTACAATCCAAAACATTGGTGGGTCGTCAAATCCAACAAGAGTTCTGTTCTGTTCAGTCCATATACAGATATATCTGTAAAAATCGGTTTGTCTGTGTTTTGTGTTGAATTATTGTGGCCTGCAGCGACATACGGTTCAGAAAATATCACTATTTGATGTCTGCATTATCCATTTTTATTTTGTTAATGTGCTCAAAGGTGGGACTTTACATGACGTTTACATTTTTCATGTTGCAGATTCTAAGCCAATAGCACGATGAGAAAAAACACTGAAAATGACAGGTTTTTATCTTAAATAGTTCCTGAGATATTGTTGTTTGAATATTTAAAAAAATATGTATTCTCAAAAAAAATCTCAGAAAGTAGTTTATATATCAAACTAAAATTTCACAAATGTTTTTATGAATTTCTCCATTATATGCTATTAAAGGTTCAGGAGACTCAAAGGTGGTCGAGCAGACATTGTTCTAAAGAGATTCAAGGTTTGTTTTATTCGTCACATGTTCATACAGTGTGCGCAGATCTTAAGGCTGTGCAATAACAAGATGAGGTCATGAAAGACAAATCTTTAAGCAACGATGGAAAAGTAGGGAGAAAAGTCACCATCTCATAAGTAAGGAGGCATATTTTAAACTGAAGTGCAGTGTAAGGGTGCAGCTGTGTGCGTGCTGTTATGTGTTTAAGGCATCAGAGACGTTTTCTGCCATTAATGTACTTGTCCTCGTGCATTTGGAGCTGAGAATTTAATCCGTATTCATTTGTTTTTAGTGCCGTTTATGTATTTGTTGTGGTCGTGGCCCTTTAAGAGAGCTGTGGATCCATGAATGAAACGCAGCCATTCATAAAAAACACAAGGGACGGACGTCATAGCAGCCTGGAAGCCGATTGGTTAGATGTTTGACTGACGCTGCGTCCCAGCCAATGGGAGGGCAGCACTGCGCTCCAGCTCCCAGAGGTCTTCATTGAGAAAAGTCGTCAGCCGAGTGTTTATTCGCGGAGCTGCAGGGGATGTAGCGGAGCGGATCTGCGGCCACTTCGTTTTTACACAACTGCCAAGAAACTTCACCTCCCAGGTGAGTGCTGCACTGTTGCTTTTAGCATTTTTTACAAGCGCTAGCTGGCTGCGTGTTCTGCGTCCGACGCGAACCGCCTCGCCGCCGTTTGTTCGGGGCTGCGAGCGGAGCAGGTCTGGGCGAAGAGGCGAACGCCATTTTCTGAAAATCAAAGGCAACATCGCGTCCATTTCGGCGCATCTGTGGACTGTGCTGAGCGGCGTTTCCGTGTGCTGAGGCCGCTTTTAGAGCCTGTTAGCGTCGTGAATCTTTCTCTGTCGTCCGTGAAGGTTTTTCTCAATGGTGTCCCCCCCTCTCCTCCTCCCCCCTCCTCCTCCCAGGATCAGGTTTCACTTCATTGAGAAAAACAAGGAGGTCCCGCGACCTGCCGCCTCACGCCGAACTCCATTCACAAATCCCTCGATTTAGCATTCGGCCTGTAGTCAGAGTACACGATCACTGCAAACAGAGTCGGAGTGATTTTGTGTTCCAGAAAACGAACCAGACCTGAACCACAGCTTCCAGTTTGTTAGTTTGCTCATCAAACTAAATGAGTTGTGGCAGGAGGGAGCCTCACGTGAGCACAAAGAAACACCTCTCCATGATGACACCTGTGCTACCTGAGCTGTGTGAGAGTAGAGCTACGAGCGAACCATCGGTCATTCTGGAAAACGTATATCTTGTTTTTGTGGGATTTTATCTGCACTGCAAAAAATCAACCCTTTTCCCAGCTGTAAGTCTCGCTCTTTTTTTGTTTTTACAATTCTTTCCTGTTTTGGTAAATTCTAGCGAGCAACTCGTAAAATATTACCAAAAATGCTTTACAAATAAATTCATTATAATTGACAAATCGTAATTTGTTTAACTTAAATCTGATTTAAGTCAACACAAATGTCACAACTTTAAATATGTATATTTTACTTAAAAGATAGAAAAATGGCAAATAATAGTTTTTTACTGTTACTTTACAGTTTTCCTGTTTCATTAGTTTACAGCAAATAACATAAAATTATATTAAAAAGTAATCATTTACATTTTAACCACAAAAACTGACACCTGTCAATAATATTCACATCAACAAATGAACTTGTTCTTTTACAATGTTTGACTGTCAAACGACATGACACTATCTTTAAATATGTTTTAAAAATGTATAGTTTTTTAAACAGATATTTGCTGTTATTTAAAATAAAACTACATTTATATTGAGTTTTGGGGGGAAAATGCAGAAAAAGTAACTGCTGTTTTACACATTTTCCTTGTTTTGTTAAATTCCAGGTAACTTACAATTACAGAGGCCTTCTTTGTGATTTTGCCTTTATTTTCACAGCACTTAAAAAAAAAAAAGCATCTAAAATCCAATCAAAAATAGTTTTTAAAGAGTGTAGGAAAAAATGAAAAATCACATTTTGAAATACGCTTAAAACTAATCCTGCAAATGCAACGGAAATACAAAACCGTCATTCTCCTTTTAATCGGGCAACAACAAACGGGAAAAATCTGTTGTCGTACCTTGATCATTAAAACAATATGTTTGATATTTTATCTCACGAAAGATAAATACAGTATAAACGAACATGATTATAAACTGAGCTGTGAAAGCCAAAGCCCTTTGATTTGTGGACCTATGGACTGTGTCTAGCTGCGTGTCTGCATCATGGCGCCACGTGGGAAAGACTTGCAGAGGGATTGAAAACGCTGATTGTGTTACTTTATGAAGACGGAAAGGGATCCAGGAAGATCCGTTGTCACCTAAAAACAGTTGCCACAGAAGTCAGGATGTATCGAAGGCGCCATAGTTCCACTAATCCGATTGGTCGTCGTCCTAAAATGACGCAATATGCGACGCTCCACCTGTACGGCGTAGCTCTGAAAAACCAACAGGCAGGCAGGAGCTCCAGACTTGGCACAAGAATTATGAGGTCATCAGGTTTGTTGGGCTCAGATGGAGCCCAGCATGGTTGGTGTGAACCTGACCAGGACGACCAGTGGATGCATCGGCCTGACAGTGAAGCACGGAGGTGGCAGCATCATGATGTGGATGAAAGCTATGCTCTGAACAGGTCTGTTGCCTGACTTGAATCCAATCCAGCAGCTATGGGGTTTTGTAAGTCTCTGAATAGTGACCTGTACTGTTAATATAGTACATTTAAAGGACAATACGTACTTGTGTTGTATATTCTAAAACACCAATAAGCTGCATTAGTATGAAAGTACTTAATACACATAAGATGTTCCCGTACATATTCCCTTGACATCAGCTTTGTTGCCCGTTGACTCCAAACACATCAGCGGTTTGCTTTGTCCTGTTGATGACGAGCGCACTGAGGTCACCGCCGTGCATCCGAAGGAAAAGACGTCATGTTTTATTGAACTACACAGCTGCTTTCCCTTTATTACCTCAAAACTGCCGTCAGCTGCTCTTTGAAGAGCGACTCCTCCTGCAGCTCATGTTCACGTCATATTTAATGTACTGGAGGTTGCGTAACACTTTCACTGACAGCGGGGCTTTTACAACCACCTCCTGTCGGGTCATGGAGGTTAGAAAAACACAAACGCACCGAGTCACATGAAAGGGATGATGGTTATGTGTACGGAGGGGTCGTCTTGGTGGAAAAAAGCCAAGTAATTAGTCCATCGCTGTGGGCTGATGGAGAAATTATTCTACCACAAGCCTTGAGAACAACTCTGGTGCTTCAAGATAGATTTCTGTTTTTTCATCCAGGGTGAAGACTGCTGCGACATGGACGGCTTTTATGACCAGCAGGTCCCCTTTGTGGTCCCTGAGAGAGTGAGTTTGATGCTTTCATTTCACACATTTGTTGCTCTTGTTCAGGACTGGGTGCATTCATGCTCGCTTTTCTTCTCACGCCTGTTATTGTAGAAATGTCACACGGGGGGAGCAGAGAGATGCCTCAGCGACAGAAAGAGGAAGTTCATGGACACAGAGCTGGCTCAGGACACAGAAGGTACATCGGCTTACTGGCATCTCCTCCACTGGATGTTAACCTGTCGGCATGCAGCTGTTTAGTGATGAAGTGAAAGGCGCGTGAATGTAGTTCAGATTGTCAGGAAAAACAATGTGTTGCAAGAGAGTCTGTCCTGTGCTTTGCAGGTATTTTCAAAAGCATACGTGAATGCAGTTTAAAGTGTCACAGAACAATGCTAATAAACAATGTTCCTGGTTGTAAAATACTATTTCAGCAGGTTGTGAGAAGGTGAAAACAAGAATAGTGCTTCACTCATGAAAGAAATAATGTCATCTAATTTAAAACCACTTTTAATTGTCTTGCAGAGCTTTTTCAAGATCTGAGTCAGCTCCAAGAAATTTGGATTGCAGAAGGTGAGTCCCACAAGCGTCGTGAACCCTCCGAACCTCAAGCAGTGTCTCGTTTTTACTCACCGTGGTTCATTTTTCACTGCAGTATAAAGTCCTGCAGCTCTGTAGAAACAGCACGACAGCGGCTGGACGTAAAGCGAACTCAAAAATGTCTTATGTGCAGCAAACCAAAGTTCTAAAGCTGCAAATCAGAAATAAATGAAACGTGAGCATTTATGTTACCTGCATTTTTAAAACCTGGAAACGACGTGCACAACATTTCTCCAAGTGCCCACAGGTCCTACCAATGCTTTAAATAAAAATGGTGGCTGAATATACCAAAGATGTTTTATTACGTACATTTTTAATTTTTGATTCAAACACAGCCAGTTCAGCCGAAAAGTCCTTGCATTACTGTTAGGTGACTTTTTTTCTTTTTACAGAGTCTTGTTTGTGTAAATGTTTTTACTTTTGGCGACGTGTTAAATGAGACGTGTATAACGCAGTGACTTGGATGAAATATTGTGAAGATGAGCGTAGATTTATCCAGAGTCTGACAAACTGTCATTTTAGTGATTCTTACAAATATAACACGCCTTTGTAACCTGCTGGTTCAGACGGTTAGCCATCGTTGTGTTTCCAAGTTGAACCCAAAACGCTCCAGTTCCATGTACAGGGACTCTGACAGGGTATTGTGGGAAATGTAAGAGATGGCTACATGAATTGTATGATATCTGAGGCTGATTATTTGATGAGAAGAGTCCTTAAACGTGGTGTCTTCTCCCCTCTGACAGCTCAGGTTCCTGATGACGAGCAGTTCGTCCCAGATTTCCAGTCCAGTAACTGTGAGTAGTTCCTTCTCCTCTAATATTTATAGAGAGTCTTACAACAGGAGCATTTTGTAGAATGACACACATAATTTATGTACCCGCGTCCCGAGAACGTTGTTCTTGAACCGTGGAGCGTTGAAAATGTAAACCGCATGATCAGACCAACCCAACAATGAAGTGATCCCACTGACAGGTCTGATTTAATCTTATTTATCTGCGCCATAGAGCTCCACTGTTGTTCATAAACTATTAAAAATACTTCAGTGTTGTTCTGAACAGCATGTTCCTTCAGTACAACGAACATGGACGTTGTAGTTTATCTGCTGCTGCAAATGATCACAGTCCACCTGCATCAGGAATCACTGAGCTTTCCAAAACATTAAACTCTAAAGCGTAGTTTTAAGCCATTTTTAAACATCTGAGCGGAGAAGCTGTGGAAATGGAAAACCTCCGTCAATCCTCGCTAAGCTTGGTGCACATTTTCCTCGTTTGTTTAGAACTCAGCTAAACTCTGTGACTCCTCGCACTCTCCAGACTCCCAGGTGTGAATACAGTCGACCGGTAATACACTATATGACCCTCACGTGCACTCACATTGGAACAATTCCAATAAATGAGAGGAGTCACGTGGCGTAGGAAATGGTGCGGTGATAAAATGACTTCCAGGGACAGTACCTGCACATGAACAATGCCACAGATAAGGCAGGAGGTGAGCGAGTGCATCTAGCGCCGCAGCCAAACACGTACCGCATGTGTTTATTGGTGTTGTAATGACAGCTGCCTCCAAAGAATGACTCCCGGTTCAGATAGTGAAGCTGACAGCGGCTGTGTACGGAAACATCAGCGCTGAGGCGTCGTCAGCGTGATGAGCACAGTTTCACTGCAGATTCCAGGAAGGCAGAGATCAAATACAAAGTCTACACTCTCACTGCGTGGAGTCTGAAAGGCGCTGGTGTTTACAAGGTGTTCAACTCTGAATTTTGACCGTTTGTTTTTCTTTCTTTTATCTCTATTATCACTCCTGAAGCTTTACAGAACTGCAGTATTAAAAGCCTGGAGTGCCTCTTTCCTACAGTACGGTCTGTTGATTAAAGCTCGCACGATGTCAGAGTATCACTACACCCCTTGAAAAAGAATTCACAATGTTATTGTGATATCTATTGAAGATTTTAGGAAAAAAATACTTTCAAGGAGTGCAGCAGAATTACAACCAAGTCAGGTGTGAAGACTTGGAGGCTTTTATTTTGGTGGGCTGGAGTTATTAAAAAACACGCCAACGCTTGTGAGTTCTTCAGGGTGTGGACACACAAAAACACAACAACTACAGTTGGAATCATCATTGTTGTGCAACACTGAATTGCTGCATCATTTTTTTCTCTCTGGTCTCTAACAAATACAAAACCACGGCCCTCTCACAGGTAGTTCAGGACAGTGTAGACGAGAAGGACAAAATACACAATAGAAAACCAGCTTTTAGAGAAACATGACAAGCAAACAAGCAGATTTCTGCAAAGTAATGTCAATTAATTGAAAACAGGAAATGTAAAATTTGCAAAAGAATGAACCCGCTTTAAAGTGACTCATCTGATCCAACACAAGCGCAGCCAACTGGTGCTAAAAGTTCATCTGAGGGCAGTGAATGTAGAATAAAGACACCTGTTCTGGAGGGGTCCATATCCTGGATAGACCTACACCATGAAGACAAAAGAACAATACAAGGAACTCGGCGAAAAGGCTGTTGAAAAGCATCAGTCTGGGGATGAAGATGAGAAAATCCAC